TCCTATTTCATTAAAACGTTCATAAATTGAATACTACGTGTTATGTTTGTGCCTTAGCTATTACAAATGATGCTTCAGTGAACATCTTTACATGGCCAGGTTTGTCTGCATCTCTGATTAGTTCTTATGAGAAGATTTAAAAGTGTTCGTGATATGTCAGAGGGTTATGGCCGTTACAATTTCTTCACACACACAGTGGTAAATCGCTTACCAAAAGGGTAAGCAGTGTACATTCTAACCAGTAATATGTAAGAATTGGCACGCGTCCTTGCCATTTCTTTATTTGAAAGGCAGAAATGCGATGACGTGGGGGGAAAGCTTGGTGTCTCTTGCATATACTCCGGGAACGAACTGACTCTTTTCAGAGGACGTGGAGGTGAACTTGATTATAAGTGTTAGCATTATGTTAGCTGTGACCCTTTACTTTTTTAGCATTGAGGTCAGGGTGGGCAATCAGGAGAGAAAATTGTGTGAAGTTCAGTCATGTATTTTACCATAGAGGTAACTGGGTATTTATGAGGGCTAGTTCTGAGTTTCTGCTCTGATTTGTAAGCTTGGTTCTTTTTTCTTTTCTTACCTAGCCTGAAGAAGATCCGTGGCAAAGTCTGGAAGCAAAGAATATCTAGCCCTCTGTTCAACACCAAACAATACACAATGGAACTAGAGCGGCTCTATCTACAGATGTGGGAGCATTATGCAGCTGGCAACAAACCTGATCACATGATTAAGCCTGTTGAAGTCACTGAGTCGGCCTAAATAAAGACTGTGTGAACAGAAGACTACCCCTGTACCTGAGCCTCAACCTTCCGGGGAAAGGGAACTAGATAACGTACTTTTTACTTATCTGTACAGTACCGTGTTGCAGACGGGTGACAAATGATCATAGAATAGCACAGCCAGACTTGCTTCCTGCATGATAGGGAGAGACGCAAGAGATGGGAAACTGCTGTCCCACAAGGAATCTCCACAGAATTTTGCAGCAACCAGGTGGTGCGTAGGTCTGGAAGGTCTGCTCTCCTTTGGTCTTCCGTGGGATGGTTAGTGTGGAGGGGAGATGGAGATTGTCCAGCCGTTTTGTGATTCCATGGATTGATTGAGTCTTCTGAATTAATTTTTTCTTTATATTTTGGGTATTGGAGCTTTTAAAAATGTTTGGTTTCAGGTATTTTTATTCATGTGAAGTGTATATGATTTTCTTGAGATAAGGTTTTAAGCTAAAATGTTGCCCCTTGTTTTAGTTTCTGAACTCTACAGATTAACGGGGACTTTGCTGGTGTAGTCTTTTTATAGGTTTTATAAACCACTTGAGCCTATATCAGTCGTTTTAGTGTCTGACCTAATGTTTGGAGCTATCAGTGCTTTGTTGGTTTAGACGATGACGTAAACATTTATTTCTGGTCCGTTTCCCATTTCCTGCTCTTCCCTTCCCCCACTTTAAATTTTCTCCTGTAACTCAGCTGACAAAACGAAGTCTGATTTTAAATGTCCCAGAGTGTTTCTCTTAAACACGTCATCTGGTGCCAAATGAAAATTCTTAGGAGTGATAATTATGCAGGGCGTAGTTGCGGTACTGTCATTGATGATGATAATGATGATAATGATAATGATGAGATGATGATGATGATGATGGTAGAGATTTCTTGGGCCTAGTTTTGACCTGTTTCACCAGTGTTTTACCTTTGACCGCCCCTCTATGCTGCTTCCAAAAGTGATAGTGTGTGATAAGAATTTTACTTCTTTTCTCAAGTTTGTTTTTTTAAGTGAGTCCTGTTCTTCCTATTTCTTTCAGCAGAAATGAAATCCCAGGTAAGTATAAGTATTCGCATATTTGATCAGTAAGTCACAGTTCTCTTCAGTACATTGAATAATATTTATCAGAAAACATAGGTGAAAAGCTCTGAAGGACCAGCTGTGTAAATGAGTAATTATTTTTCAGACCTTCTAGGGTATTATAATAACTGTCTTCTGGACTGGGTCTTGAAGTCTGTACGGATCAGCCTCAGTGGTAGCAAACTGCACTGCTACTTGGTTTGGAGTACAAAGTAGACTTTAGCCCTCCTGGCGCTTAAGTTCTTGGTATTAAAAACCATAGGAATAAAATTATTGAATTTCAACAAAGGATCGAGGGCTTGAGGCTTAAACAAGCCAACATATGAATACATGTTTTGTGTTGCTGTACTGTACTTCTGCTATCCAGTAACAGAATTTTTTGTCTGCTAGTAGTGTTCTAGATTCTAATGTCTTTCCAAAGCGCTGAGGCAGTGCACCTATTCTGTAGTTGCAGCTGATGCCTGAATGTATCCTAGGTGACAAATTATTGATTAATAAGAACTTGAATTTCTGAAAGATTCTTACTGTTAACCAAAATCTGAGCAAGGAGTCTCAAGTGTAATTCCTGCCAGAATTACATCGTAATGAACTGTGTGTACCTTTTAACAATGTAAATCAAGAAACATCAGTTTAGGGATTTAATTTATTTTTTACCCAATCGAACTGTCAGTTACAGGTTGCCAGCATGGTTGCAGATAAACTGATGTTTGAAATTCTCCAAACTACTTCACGTGGAATAGGATAATATACTTCCAGTGCCCTCAAGGCCGTGGCCTTGCAGCCATTTTACATAGCACATCATTCCTCCTATAGGGATGAACTTTTTCCTGGCACGAAAAGTAGCCGCTCTGGTTGAAGCTTTGCATATTGTAATAGGCTTTTGTTTCCAGGTAACATGTCTGTGGAAGACTTAATTCTGAATAGAGATATAGATATTATTGGAAACTAATTGTTTTTTCTATTATACTCCGCTTTATCAAAAAAGTAAACATTTAAATTGTGCTACAGAAATCCAGATGTTGTCTTGCGATCCTTAAACAATAAATGAATGATTTGCCCTTAATGTGGCTGATGTATTTTTTTGTGTTCTGTCAAATTGAGCATTGGACAGAATAATCGGGTCAGCCAGTGATGAAACTTACATTTGAACAGCTGCAAACAACAAAAGGACCGGATTTCCCTCGTGTGGCTGCAATGTTAAGAATCATTTGGTTTTCTCAGCCAGGTGTGGTAGAGGGGGTGGGGCTGGTATATGTATGACCCGTTAGGATGAGGACAAAGCCTGTGATTCCCAGCACACCCGTTCATGCTTGTTTTTGTTTTGCTTACGATGGCTCTGGCTTCGTCTGCCGCTGTAGTCTTAATCTTTGTGTGGACCATTCATGCTCCATATTTGAACTCAGCCACAGGTAGGAGGGAAGATATTGGTGCATCAGGGACCAGAGCAGGCTGTTTAGCTGCCCGTTTTCTCAGAGATAATAAATGGGAAATTTTTTATATGTGGAAACTAATTTGACAATAAACTATTTGTAAAAAAATAATAATAAATGGGAAATTTTTTTCCCAGTAAAATTTCAGGGGCATCTGGCTGGCTCAGTTGGTAGAGCATGTGACTCTTGATCTCGGGAGTGTGCATTCAAGCCCCCAGTTGGGCATAGTGCTTCCATTAAAAATAAGTGAATTTCAGCTGATTTATCCCTCCCCTCAATTCCTGTGGGTTATGACCCTCAGAGCCCTAAATGGACTGGTGTGTGTTTCCTAAGAGTTGGTGTGGGCAGAAAGGTGTCCAGTAGCATACTCCTAAACATTCTTCCCCCTACCCTCTTCTGTATGTTATAAATCTGCCTGGGTTATTTTCAGTGAGCTTCAGTTCCTCCTGCGTTCAGTCTAAAGGAATTGCTTATTATGTGTCCTGAATGAGCTTGTGTGACATGATTTGATTTCCAGTCCTAACCCACTTTTTTTACTTGAAGCACATGCCTCCTCTTATTAACTACAGCTGACATTCAGGTTCTTTGCCCAAACCTCTGAGGCACACAGTTTGGTCACCCCCGTTTTTACAAGAAGAAGCTTGTAGAGGTAAACTTGCAAGTTTGTTGTAGAGATAGGGTTATGATGATAAACCCCTTGTAACTAGTTCCCTGTCGGTTCAGAATAACTTTACATATGCAGGCAGTTTGGTGCTTTAGAGTTTGGATTTTGAATCTAGGGCTGCTGGAGTTTGAAACCCAGCTTTGCCACTTTCTAGCCATGTGATCTCTGTAAAAGGAGTGCTGACATTGCCTACTTTTTAAGGAGTCCTAAGCATGAAATCCACAGAAAACACTTGGAACAGTGCCCAGCATGAAGTAAATATTAATATAATAATAATATTAATATCTTTAAATGCAAGGAGGCTTTATTTGTATTCTGTTGGTTAAATGCTTAAATTCTGAAATGTACGGATTCTGAAATGTACGGATGTCCGCCAGAGAAGCAGGGACCATCCAGAAAGCGTTTACTTCCCGTTTGTTTTTTTCTTGGTGTTTGGAACGAGTGCCAAAAAGCCTGAAGTAACTAACCCCTCTATCTTCAGGATTTGGAGGGTTCTGGGAACAAACGTCACCGTTCAGTGTTGCCAGGCGCTGTTGGATTACTGCCTTGCTCTTATCTAGGGGTCTAGGTGGCCTTCCCCCATTTCTTACTAGCTCAGAGTAGTTGGGAGGGCTGGCGGGCGGGCGCGCGGGCGGGCAAACAGGCTTAGAGGTTTGGGCAGTTCAAGCAAGAAGCCGGGGCTTGCTTATCCAAGTTCTCACAGAGATGAAACTTCTGTGGGAAGATTCAGCCCAGTTCTCCCGTGTCACCCAAAAAGTTTATTTTAGGGATCGGCAAACTACAGAAATGGGCTCGGGGACCTGAGCTCTGCACGAAATGGCGCTTTCGCGACAAAACAAGCAGCACCCGTGGAAGGGATAGACCTGACTCCGGAAGCACTGCCTCTGGCCGCCAAATTGGAGTTCATAGCGCAAAGTTCAAATTTGCCACGAGACCGCACTGTGATAGGTGGGTACAGGGAGGAGCTGAACACGTCAGTTCCTGCCTCCCGCGAGCCTGGCTGAGGCTATAAAAGGGCTTGCGCCTGGCACCCCCTCCTCTCTGTTCCTCCGGAGCTCCCCTAGCATCTACTGTGGGTTGGGGGTGAGCTACAGTTGGCTACACCAGAGGCGGCTGGAGCAGGTAGGTGGCTTGGTGGGGCTTTAGTGGGGTGCTGAAGCGGGAGCGATCTTAAAGCTCATCCTAGCTGAGGAGGGCTTCGTTAAAATCAGGACCGCCATATACCCTGGGCACTGTCCACGAACCTTGGGACGGAGATTACGGCAAAATATTTCGCCTGTTTCCACGTTTAAAAAAGGCTAGTGGAAGAAGTGGTTTTAAGCCTTGTTAGTGACGTTAATTCTGCCAAAACGAAGATGAGGAACGGGGGCCTGGGGGATCCCAGAGCCGGGGGGGGGGGGAACTGGGCGGGGGAGAGCTGGGGGAGGTGGCCTGCGATTATTGCGGGGAGAGATTATTGCCGGGAGCGTCTAGGCCTGAGAGGTGGAAGAATGGCTGGCTGAGTAAGATGGGGGAGTGGAGGTGGTGTGCTGGCGAGGGCATGGGGGTGTTGGATGCCTGATCTGGAAAGGCCAGCTGGCCAACTGAGGCCAGAGTAGGGGGTGGAAATGGAGGGTGGGAAGGAGGGGGAGGTGCCAATGCTTGATCCGCTAGCGCCGCTGCGGGGTGTAAGGTTGAAGATTTTGAGGCCCAGTTGGTGTAAGACCTGGGGACAGGAGGTGGTGGAGGTTTTAAGGCTTGAATGGTGCAAGCCTGGCTAGGGGCAGAAGGAAGGGGTCTGAGCCTGTTGGTGTAAGACCTCCTGGGGTTGGGGGGGGTGAGTGGAGGTGTCCAGGCCTGGTTGGTGCACTACTGACGCCAGTGGGTAGGGGTCTGGGCCTCGCTGCAAAACCTCCTGGGATTGAGGGGGGTTGGGCGGGTGAGTTGGAGACATCCATGCCTGATTGGTGCAAGATTGGCGGGAAGGGGGAGGGGTCTGGCCCTCTTGCTGCAAGACCTCCTGGGATTGAGAGGGGTTGGGCGGGCGAGTGGAGACATCCATGCCTGATTGGTGCAAGGCTGGCGGGAAGGGGGAGGGGTCTGGGCCTCTTGCTGCAAGACCTCCTGGGATTGAGGGGGGT